TGTGAGTCATATTCTTCAAGAGAAATTAGGGGATTTATAAAAAGCAGTGGAGCCATCTACCATTTCTCTGGTGGGAGTGAAAATTTATGAAGACCATTTAAAATCTTAATGCCTATGATGAATAGAGAGTTAGTTAAATTATTTCTATAGTGTACTCTCGGCAACACAAACTAGTTCAACTTTATGTATCTAGTTTAACTACTTCTTTCTGTTAATTAATTCCTACCTCTGATTTAATAATAAAAACTAAAAAAATACAAATATATTTCAAAGATTATCAATTAAGAAATTAGGATAATTTGACAATTTGAACATTTCAGCCAATTACTGTAATTTCGAATATCCTGGTCTATAAGTTTTTTATTGGGGTAGATATCTTCCTAAGTTCCATATGGTGTGTAGTGTGTGGAATTCTATTAGCTCCAGTCTAGGATAATGCACGTGCATCCAGTGGTTCAAGGGAATACAACCGAGTCCTTCTTTCCTCCTTGATCCCCTGGAACCACAGGAATAGGATTGGATAAACATCACATAGGATGGGTTTATTTTGTTAAGTATTTACTCTAGATGAAACCAGGACCATGGAGATGATAGAATGGGTTTTATTTTTTTTAGTCTTTACTCTAGATCAAACCAGGACCAAGGAGAGAATAGGTTGGGGTTTCGCTTTATATTCAGATTATCCTATATTAAGCAGGACTTAGGATAGGATAAGATTGGTTTACTCTTTATGTTCAGAGTATCCTATGTTAAACCAGGACCAATTGGATAGGATAGGTTGGATTCACACTTTATATTCAGAGTATCCTCTATTAAACCAGGACTAAGGAGAGGATAGGATAGGTTTACTCTTTATATTCAGAGTATCATGTATTAAACCAAGACTAAGAATAGGATAGGATAGGTTTACTCTTTATATTCAGAGTATCATGTATTAAACCAAGACTAAGAATAGGATAGGATAGGTTTACTCTTTATATTCAGAGTATCATGCATTAAACCAAGACTAAGAATAGGATATGATAGGTTTACTCTTTATATTCAGAGTATCCTGTATTAAACCAGTACTAAGAATAGGATGGGTTTACACTTTGTATTCAGAGTATCCTATGTTAAACCAGGACTAAGGATAGGATGGATTTACTCTTTATATTCAGTGTATCCTATATTAAACCAGGACTAAGGATAGGATGGGTTTACTCTTTATATTCAGAGTATCATGTATTAAACCAAGACTAAGAATAGGATAGGATAGGTTTACTCTTTATATTCAGAGTATCATGTATTAAACCAAGACTAAGAATAGGATATGATAGGTTTACTCTTTATATTCAGTGTATCCTATATTAAACCAGGACTAAAGGATAGGATGGGTTTACTCTTTATATTCAGAGTACCATGTATTAAACCAAGACTAAGGATAGGATAGGATAGGTTTACTCTTTATATTCAGAGTGTCCTATATTCTAGTTGATGGCAAAAACTCAATTCCTTACTTTTATTTAAAATCTTTTATTGTTATAAAATTAGCTACTATATGTTTAACAAATCACAGCAAAATGTGTACAAAAACCCTTTCCTCTTTTCCTTACTGCTCTTGAATTGAAGTATGTGTTATAAAAAAAATCTAAGAAATGGAGATGTTCGGATACAGACATTAAAAAAAACTTCATTTCACTGTACTGTGTAAAATTATAGTTTCCCCTCACTTTTCCCTTAAGTTGTTGCTTAGAATATTTTTCAACAGAGATTCCTTCAAAATTAGTTTCTATGTTAAAATATTTAAACTGTACAGAAGAATGAACCTTTTTCTTCATATCCGCACATTCCTTCCTGGGAGGGGGAACAGAGCAGGGGGGGGGATGAAGTATCATTGTAAGGGGAAAATAAGGGTTAAAACAAAAAAACATAGGGAATATTTCTTTGGCAGATATTTGATACACCTCTGAAAAACAAAACAAATAATAACGACAATCGGAAAAATTTCTTGAAAAAGGAGTTTAGTTTTTGCCACAAACTCTGATTTTCTAATCTCTATATCTTTGTAAACCAATGTCGTAGACCTTAGATATTTCAAACTATTAATAGATAAAGTAATCTAAGTTTGAAATATCAAAGGTTTGAACCATAAAATTACCAAGATATTGGAATCAGAAGATTTTAGTTTGTGATAAAAACTCAATTACTTTTGTTTTGTTTGAAAATGTTTTCGGGTAGTTTGGGGTAGACCAGAGTAGTATACTCTACAGGAGTAATTGTCCGGTTCCATGCAAACAGTAATGATGAAGGTTGTTTCTAACTAGGTTACTTTAATGTAGTTTATCGATTTTTTCCTTCAACATTCTTCTATATATTCATTTTCTTCCATATACAGGGGAACTTGTTGCTACTCCACTTATCCGGAGCTTCTTACTTCTACTCCTATCCTTCCATATACTCAGGGAGCTTGTTACTAATCATTCCATACTTCCATATACTCAGGGAGCTTGTTACTACTACTCCTATCCTTCCATATACTCAGGGAGCTTGTTACTACTCCTCTTATCCTTCCATATACCCAGGGAGCTTGTTACTACTCCTCCTATCCTTCCATATACTCAGGGAGCTTGTTACTACTCCTATCTTTCCATATACTCAGGGAGCTTGTTACTACTCCTCCTATCCTTCCATATACTCAGGGAGCTTGTTACTCCTCCTGTACTTCCATATACCCAGGGAGCTTGTTACTCCTCCTATCTTTCCATTTACTCAAGGAGCTTGTTACTACTCCTCCTATCTTTCAAAATACTCAGGGAGCTTGTTACTACTCCTCATATCTTTCAAAATACCCAGATAGCTTGTTACTCCTATTATCCTTCCATATACTCAGGGAGCTCATTACTGATCCTCCTCTCCTTCCATATACTCACGGAGCTTGTTACTCCTCCCATCCTTCCATATACTCAGGAGAACTTGTTACTACTCATCCCATCCTGCCTTATACTCAGGGAGCTTGTTACTACTCCTCCTATCCTTAAATTTACTCAGGGAACTTGTTACTACTCCTCCTATCCTTTCATAAATTCAGGGAGCTTGTTACTACTCCTCCCATCCTTCCATATACTCAAGGAGTTTGTTACTACTCTTCCTATCTTTCAAAATACTCAGGGAGCTTGTTACTACTCCTCTTATCCTTCCACTTACCCAGGGAGCTTGTTACTCCTCTTATCCTCCCATATAATCAGGGGGGTTGTTACTACTCCTCCTCTCCTTCCATATACTCAGAAGAACTTGTTACTACTCCTCCCATCCTGCCTTATACTCAGGGAGCTTGTTACTACTTCTCCTATCCTTCCATAAACTTAGAAGAACTTGTTACTATACTCCTCCTATCCTTAAATTTACTCAGGGAGCTTGTTACTACTCCTTCTATCCTTCCATATACTCATGAGAACTTGTTACTTCTCCTCCCATCCTCCCATACACTTCTCCTATACTTCTCTTTCTTTTTGAACTAACAGTACAAGGAAACTGAACTTAATAGAAATATGAAATATTTTATTGTTTGTTAACTTTGTTTTTCTGCTTTGAATATGTTTGAAACAGAATTGAGCTCTCTCAGCATGAATAATACACCATGCTGCATTATTAATCTGTTTAAGGAGCAAAATTGATTCAAGAAGGGAAGGATTACAGTGTTAAAATATCAAAGAAGGAAAGAAGGAAAAAAAAAATAAAATATGAAAATCAAAAAGAGAAAAGAAAAAAGTGTTAAATAAGGATAACAAAGAAAGATTTGAAGTCTCAAGAAAAGAAAATGAAAAATGTTTGCTTTAGTTTTATTATGAAAAGAACATTGAATATTTTATTCAAAAAGCAAAAGCATTGAATATTTGCGGCGAATCACAGCCCACAGATTAAATAAACTTACAAAAATTAAGCTTAAATTCAATTTTATAAAATTATTGAATATTATACTTTTTTTCTTTGATTGTTTCTGTTCCATTGATGAACATTATACACAGATGACACAAAACGAAGGAACTTGAAATAATACTAAAAAAGAAGTTTTGAACAAATATGAAATTTATGTACATGTACATTGTACATTTATAAAAATGTATATTATGTACACATGAATATATTAATTTTTTTTTTCAATTGATTAAGAGATAACATAAACACAGTAAATTAGAACCAGTACCTACAGTATAATGGTGCTTACAAACACAACATGTTTGATCTATTTTTGTAAAAAAATGAATTGATATTTTACCTTCTTAGGGGTTTTTAACTTAGAAATTGACGTATATTTATTTAATCTTTGGAAAATTTCCCATTAAGGGGAAGAGGGTAAAATTAAAGTTAGTATATTAATTACGTGCACTCTTTAAGCTGATTTAAGTTCCAGCTCAGGGTTTTATTATTTGCAATTTTTACAAGTCTAGAGGTAGAAAATAAAAAATATACAAGCCGTACATAGTTCTATATAAAGCAGCTCTTTATCTCATGTACATTTAACGTGAATAATGTAGGTAAAACCAGTGCCTGATATGAACACAATTTTGCAAACTTGATGAGGAAAAACAAGGCTTTGGATGAAATGCTATTACACAGATCATTGAACATTTTCATATTTTGAATTAATATATTAAATAAATAAACTGGAAAGTCCGTATTATCAAATTAAGACTAGATCGAGTGATGGAAATTAGAAATTATGAATTTTAAAAAGAATTAATGTTCCAAAATGAAAAGATTTAAGTAAAGATATTTAAAATGTGGAAAATGTAATGGAAAAATTAAAAACGGGTGAATAATGAAGCCTTTACAAGTATAGAACTATTTGAAATAAGATAATATAAGAATTTTGGATTTGCTGGACCATTCACATAGTTAGCTAGTAGATAGATGGATAGATAGCTAGTAGATAGATGGATAGATAGCTAGTAGATAGATGGATAGTTAGCTAGTAGATAGATGGATAGATAGCTAGTAGATAGATGGATAGATAGCTAGTAGATAGATGGATAGATAGCTAGTAGATAGATGGATAGATATGTATAAAAATGCAGATATAAAAAATCAAGATTTTGCGTCAGCTGTTATTGATTAAAGCACAGAAACTTGATTTTTGCCTGGTAAAATTAGTTCTACAATATTAACAAACAATTTAAAACATTTCTTTGGTTGAATGCAATGTTTGACTAAATAATTATGTTTCACAATTCTCGACTTTTTTATCTTAATGTTTAAGCTCGATCGGGATTATTTAGTTTCTTTCGTCCATCTTCTCATCCCCTATTCGTCTTCGGGACTAAAACCCAGATTTTTTCTTTGAAGAAACAAATGAATCTCCCTGAAACTCGGTCTCTCCGTCTCTACTTTAGCCCAGCACTCCGATATAAGATCAAATATATCCCTGGGACAATTGTAAGGACGGGAGAGTGAATGCGGCATCTTCTTCTTGTCATACAATGCCGATATATTCTCCAGAACCTTCTCATCTCCGAGCTCCTCGAAGGGTTGCTCCCTGGCGAAGGTGAGGATCTCCCAGAACGTGACACCAAAAGACCAAACATCGCTCTTTGTTGTATATTTTGCCTTAAAATTTAAATTAGATTATTTGTTGTTAAAAGTTTTGCTAAGGTAGACGTCCGGTGCTACTAGGTCAAGCTGTTAAACCCTTTCCATTGGATTAAAGATAAACAATGAATCTGAACCAAGTGCAGGCTTAGAGGTTTAGAGTTTTAGAGCATTAGAGGTTTTGGGTTCAAAAGTTTCAGGTCTGAAGGGTTTAAAGTTATAGATTTTATTAGAATTAAAGTAGTCGGGTTCAGTAAACTATATTATCATTAGTATCCGAGTGGAATCTAGACTAGACAGATTCCTGGATCTGCCAATTGTACGGATCCTCCTGGACCTCTTCCAGGTTTCGGGGGGAAAAGGAAGGAATAAGAATAAGATGTTTCAAAAAGATATAGAAAAAAAGTCTAGTCAGGTCTTTTAAAAAAAAGTGAGTTAGAATTTCAGAAAATATATACAAACAGGGTGATGAGCAATGAAAAGAGCATAATAGGTAGAGCAATAAAAAGAGCATAATAGTAGAGCAATGAAGAGCATAATGGTAGAGCAATGGAAAGAGCATAATGGTAGAGCGAGCAATAAAAAGAGCATAATGATAGAGCAATGAAAAGAGCTGCTGGGTGGTAGAGAAATGAAGAAAAGAGCATAATGGTAGAACAATGAAAAGAGCTGGGTGGTAGAACAATGAAAAGAGCATCATGGTAGAGCAATGAAAAGAACAGGGGGTGCTAGAGCAATGAAAAGAACAGGGGGTGCTAGAGCAATGAAAATATGATAATGGTTGAACAATGAAAAGAGCTGGGTGGTAGAACAATGAAAAGAGCAGGTTGGCAGAGCAATGAAAAGAGCTGGGTGGTAGAGCAATGTAAAGAGCAGGTTTGTAGAGCAATGAAAAGAGTATAATTATAGAGCAATGAAAAGAGCTGGGTGGTAGAGAAATGAAAAGGGCATAATGGTAGAACAATGAAAAGAGCTGGGTGGTAGAGCAATGAAAAGAACTAGATAGTATAGCAATGAAAAGAGCTGGGTGGTAGAGCAATGAAAAGAGCATCATGGTAGAGCAATGAAAAGAGCATAATGGTAAAGCAATGAAAAGAGATGGGTGGTAGAGCAATGAAAAGAACAGGGTGCAAGAGAATGAAAAGAGCATAATGGTAGAGCAATGCAAACAGCATAATTGTTGAGCAATGAAAAGAACAGGGTGCAAGAGCAATCAAAATAGGATAATGGTTGAACAATGCAAAGAGGTGAGTGGTAGAGCAATGAAAAGATCGGGGAAGTAGAGCAATGAAAAGAGCTTGGTGGTAGAGCAATGCAAAGAGTAGGTTGGTAGAGCAATGAAAAGAGCTGGGTGGTAGAGCAATGTAAAGAGTAGGTTGGTAGAGCAATGAAAAGAGCAAAAACCGATGAGAATTTTGCCAATTACTAACTAAATGCTAAACAAAGCATTATAGCGCTTAAAGGTACATGTCTAGGGCTATTCAAAAGTATGAGTAATGGTTTTTAATAGCAGTCTGGATCTATGTTTATGAATGAAGTAAATATGTTGATAAAGACGAAGAGTTAGAAAGGATTGAACTGATGCATCCAATATTCAAAATTCTCCGACCGTGTTACAATATACTTCATTAATATTCAAGGGACAAAGCGGCAACCAAAGGAGAGAGAGCAGGAACACGGGATAGAGCAGCTAAAGAAGGAATATAGGAGAAACAGGAGAGAGAGCAGGAACATGGGATAGAGTAGATAAAGGAGGAATATAGGAGCAACAGGATAGAGAGCAGGAACACGGGATAGAGTAGATAAAGAAGGAATATAGGAGCAACAGGAGAGAGAGGAGGAACATGGGATAGAGCAGCTAAAGAAGGAATAAAGGAGAAACAGGGAAAGCAGCAGCTAGAAAGAAAAAGACGATAGAAAATCTACAAAAAAACAGCAGCAGCTTCAAATAAAAATGGAGCAAACACAGGACGAGGAGAACCTAAAAATGAAGTATAGCAGAAACAGAACTTGTATGAACTAAAAAAGAAACTAGTAAAGGGCTTTTGTTTTTAATATCATATCTTATCATGCTTTATGCCAGAATACTAAAATAATCTTATAATTCTTTAATCAAAATTATGCCAACAAAGTTTTTTTTAAAATGATTTAATCGTTCAAAATTTTCTGTTTTGTCCTAAAAATCTCAATTTAAAGCTATACGTTATGAAATACAGTCGTCGTCGTATATATCGGTAAAGACGACTTTCTATCTCAATTTTGATCTCTACCAAGCTTTTAAGCAGAGCAGAGACACATAGACATGAAAACAAATAGAAGTTATCAATTTACAGCATCTCTTTGTTTAAATGTAAACTTGCAATTTGAAAAACGCTGGTCAGGGAGCGAAGCATTATTCATAAAAGGTCGTCTTCTTTGAATTGATATAAACGACGACCACTGTATGATGTGGGAACCTACCAAGACGACAGATTCCCAGGCCATCCAACGGATAGGTAGTCTTCCTCCCTCTAGACTAGTGTAGTAATCACTGTTATAAACACTTCTAACAGATCCACAGTCGGAGATCTTTATATTGTATCTCGGATACACCAAACAGTTTCTAAACAAACAAAACATTTAAGAAAACGGTTTTTTATATTTAAAGTGTATTAAAGAACCCCATTAAAGAGCAACATGTCCGATTCACAATGGTACCCTCAACCTTTATCCACGCAACAACTCTCTTAAAACATGTTGAATGAATGTTTTATAGAGATTGAAAATTATTAACTTTATTTAGAAAAGCAGAAAATTGTTTATTGGTCTATTTGAACCATTTTTATACTGTTTCTTGCTTATAGACTGAAAAACTGCCCGCAGATGCAGCCAAAATTTTTCAGGCTATTTAGGAAGAAGTTAGTGTTTGGCATTTTAATTAGTTACGTATATGCAAGGTTATAATGAAAGGAAAGTTAATTCCGGTCGCGTATACTTTGATAATTTTGATAATTCACATAATTGTTTCCTATGACCAGAATATTTCATAGATTATTTTTGTGAAAATGGATTCCATGTCAGGCTGTGACATCCGTCCTGTGTTTACTTTTTTCCGCCCAAAGACAGTACACTGCAGAACAAAAAATGCGTACACCTCTGAAATAACTTTCCTTGCATTAGTACCTTGCGTATATGAATGGTATGGTAAACTACATTTCCAACCTCCTTTCCAATATCAGTTCGTAAAAAATCAATATTTATCTGGGTTTAAAAAAAGTATGATATGTTCAGGATTCTAGATATTTATAGAAAGACATTTGATTATATCAGTCAAAATAGTGTTAGTTAGGTAATTAAGTGGTTTATTAGAGCTGATACTTGCTTGAAAAGTTTTTACCCATTATTGCATAAATTCTAGCCTTGATACGAAATATCTACATGAAAAAGTCGAGGAACTGAGTTCTTGCAACAAACTCTGATTTTCGAACCCATTTATCTTTGCAACCCAACGTAGTAAACTTTCCTAATTTCAAACTCAGAGTTCTGTTAGATCAAATTTCTGATTTAAAAATATTGATTTCTCATTCATCGTTCATCAGACAAGATTTTAAGAATACCATTGTGAATTGAACATGTCGCTATAGGAAACCTGAGGGGCACCTGAAATTACAAGCACAGTCCCTTTAAACCAAGTTTATCTGAGATAAATCTAACTTTAGTAAACTCAAATATTTCACGATCAAATGTAAATAGATAAGTTTACTAGAATTATATTTCTTCTCCACATACTTTGCACTTTTTCGTTTTATGCCAATGCATAAATATTATGAAGAATAAAAACATGGTTTATTCACCTTGTTGCTAGATCTCTATGAATAAAGTTGATGGATTCTAAAAATTTCATCCCTGATGATATCTGGGTTGCCATGTATATCAAGGACCCAAACCTAGAACATAAAAATATTTAATTCGGAGATTCCAACCCAATTCTAGAACATGGGTTGAATAAACTAAACCTAAACCTATTCTCGGAGTTAAAAGTTTTAAATTGACAAGACTTACTTAAACTTATTCAAATAAGTTAAACTATTCTATGATCTCATTTTGGTCAAACAAGCGAACTTAAAAAAGAAGAAGAAAATAGTTTTGGTTTATTTGGAACCAAATTATATTAGTTCCATTGTTTCTAAAGTTAATCCTTTTTATCCGTTTTACCCTTGTCTATTTAAAACATTGAGTTTAATCTACAAAATTAAACTAGGAGAGAACCTTTCTCGGTGAAATAGTTTGTTTAGAGAGAGTTAAGCTCAAACGCTTCTATTTAGAAAGTTATTTCAGAGTGAAACGCTTATATTTACTCCCTGAAGACTAGTTAAGTATATCCTGTACTGACCTGAGAGTTGAAACACCTGAGCTACAACTCAAACTTGTCTCTGCAACATGATCCTGAAGATACTGGTTCAGATCTCCCATATCAGAGAACTCACACGCCATAAAGTTAGGATCGGAGTCAAAGTTTGCTCCGACCACTCTGGCAATGTTTGGATCATTTATTGTAGACAGGATCTGGGATTCCGTTTTGAAACTTCCCCTGAAATATGTTTTATATAGATAAATCCTTAACAATCATTCTTACTTAATAAAGTTCCGATTTTTGTCCTTAAAGACTGTTATCTTTCCCCAAAATATCTGTTTTTACACCTCCCCACCTCCCCCTCCCTTCTTCATACATTTCACACCCAGAGCTAGATATAAAAACTGAAGTCTAAGATACTGTGAGGGAATTGGGGCGGGTCCAATTTGTTTCAAGTTTTGACGAGAACCGGGAGCTGAGGGAGGGAAAGGTGGAGAATATCCCGTCCCTCCCCACCTATCCTCTCCTCCCTTTCCCGTCCCTCTCCCTCTACATTAAACATTCCTGACTAGCACAGGTGGGAATATATGAGATTAAAAGAATGAATTATAACAAGGGTCATTAAAGGAGAAGTAAAGGGGTAGATAGAAGTTAGGTTGGACAGTTCTTCAGATAGATTTACAATATACATACACCCTGTGATAGATTTATTAGGATATGTGGATATATCAGGACATCTAAAGATATGCTTGAATATCTCAGGATATGGCATTATATCAAGAAAAAAAGATCAGAATAAATTAGAATATTTCAGAATAGATCAAGGGGTTGCAGCGACTTTTATTTCTGTTTATGTTTCATTTTTGGTTAAGAACCTTTTTGTACCGAACAAGCGTGCTAGGCTAGGCGCGCTTGGGTATAAAAGGGTAAAAATAGGGGTTAGAAAAGAGTTTAATCAGTGTACAGGATAGATCATGAAATATTAGAATATATCAGAATAGATCAAGGGGTACAGGATAGATCATGAAATATTAGAATATGTCAGAATAGATCAAGGGGTACAGCTGATAGATCATGAAATATTTGAATATGTCAGAATAGATAGATCATGAAATCAGAATAGATCAAGGGGTACAGGATAGATCATGAAATATTAGAATATGTCAGAATAGATCAAGGGGTACAGCTGATAGATCATGAAATATTTGAATATGTCAGAATAGATAGATCATGAAATATTTGAATATTTCGGAATAGATCATGGGGTACAGGATAGATCATTAAATATTAGAATATGTCAGAATACATCAAGGGGTACAGGATAGATCATGAAATATTAGAATATGTCAGAATAGATCAAGGGGTACAGGATAGATAATGAAATATTAGAATATATCAGAATAGATCAAGGGGTACAGGATAGATCATGAAATATTAGAATATGTCAGAATAGATCAAGGGGTACAGGATAGATCATGAAATATTAGAATATGTCATTCAGGACTCATGACGAATAAGAATACGATTTATGTAATAAAACTGACAAAGGTTTAATAATATATAAATATATTAATATATCATGGTATTAAAATGAAATGATATCATTATCAAGGCTTTATGAATACTTGTAGGGTTTCATCTTTCAGTATTATATCTCAGGGTCAAATGTGATTATAAAACAGTTTTAATATTAACGTTCTCTTATTAAGGGTTAGTTCCTTTGTGTACTATGGCGGGAGTTTAACTTAAAAATAAAAATACAATTTTTGTATCTTGTATTTTTTATATTTCTTTAAATACAGCTATTCTCGGAAATATTTTGAAAGCATGAGAGTAAAATTATATTCTGGTTTTAATCAATATTTTCCCATACTCTTAAGCAACTCAATTATTATATTGAAAAGAGCAGCTAATATAGTTTTTAAGAAGATTATAATAGATTGGTTAGAAACATAATTCATCATATACAGAGCAGATTAGAACAGATCAGAATATAATAATATTATTCTTTAATAGATCAGAATATGATTAAATAAAAGGGATAATAATAAAAGGGATAATGAATCATAATTTATGATAAAACTATAACTTTGATTTCTATCCTATGTTTTGTAACATGAATAATATGCTTTTCACTGATATTATATAAGGGAAAGGCTAAGCTATCAGAGAGACACACTGTTTTTTTTTAACTTAGTGACCGTAGAGGACGGTTTATATCTTATTAATCTCTATACAGAAACATCAGAGAGAGATTAGTTCATCTTCTGTTTAGCCAGCACTCCCTTTTATTATATTCTAGAATAGATTAGATAATCCTACTTGAATATAGATTCCGAACCTGATTACGCTAGAAGAGTTGGTCTCCAGGGATTTAACAGCAACTAGGGTTGATCCAACCGTATTCACTCCGGAGATCAGATGACAGAGATGAACCTCACCAAATTGTCCTCGTCCAATCCTAAGCATGAAAACCAATTATGACAAATGTTCCGATGCAACATTGTGACGTATCAAACTAAAGTAAAGGAATTGAGTCTTTGCCACAAATCCCAATTTTCTAATACCTATATCTCTAAAACCAGATGGCGTAAACCTTTGATATTTCAAACTTTAATTATTTGATCCATCAGCATTTATAATTTGAAATATCAAGGGTCTACAACATTGGGTTGTAGAGATAAAGGGATTAAAAAATCAGAGTTTGTGGCAATGAATCAATTCCTTTCACGTAAGATTTGAAATCTTTTATGTTTTCAATCTTAACTCCTCTTATTGAAGAGCTTTGAAGATGAACAAAAAATTTAGATTTTCTAATATGTAACCGGATATCTAATACTTCTACATAGCCGAACTAGAGGAGCTACGAGGTCTCAAACTCGTACCAGTGATGTTACATAAAGTTACTCTATCCGAAAACCCAAGAAGAGAAAATTTGAGTATAACAATGGTTTGGATTTATGTTGTAACTAATCAGGGGTGGATCACAGGGGGGCTGGGCCCGCGGCCCCTCCCCTAAGAAAATTCAAGATATTAAATATGATTATGATTCATTCTTAATTACCAATCTTAATGAAACATTGATAATTTTAATTAAAATATCCTAAATAATTTATTGAGACTTTTTCTTTTGTAAATTTTAGGAATACGTATAAACACATGTTCAAGTCACATTTTCGACCATATTTACCAGACACAAACACCTTGTCTCCGGTTCCACAAATATTCAAATCAATATTGTATCCGGTTCCACAAATATTCAAATAAATCTTGTATCCGGTTCCACAAATATTCAAATAAATCTTGTCTCCGGTTCCAAAAATATTCAAATAAATCAATTTAGCATTTTGGAAGTTTTTGAGAAACTAACAAAAGAAATGAAAAGAGTTCACATCTTTGGATCTAGGAATAAAACTTGAAAATATTCTGACCCCAGATTGGGAAGGAGAGGAGTTGAAAAAGAGTGCCGAAATATAAATATAAAACACAGTGATCCACGCAAAAAACCCGCAAAAATCTATGCGATTTTTAAAATTTCTTTTTAAAAACAAGTGTTGTATGGTTTTAAAATGTTTATGTCTAGGGTTACAAAACAAATATTTTTTAGTTCAAGGGGTAAAATTAAAGATCAAGGCATTGCAACACTTTGAAGTCGACCCAGTCTTGTAAATTAATGGAACATTTCTTAACCGTCTGGATCAATGTAAAAAGAAGAATGAGGAAGGCGGAGAATAATAATGGAACTTTATTTCCGAATCAAAGTTTGAACTATAATTCCAAGTTGGTAGGAATAGAAGAATATAAAATTATCTGCAGCCCCGCTTCAGCAGGAACTCTACCAGTTTACAGCTTATACAACAATTATGCAGCAAACATTGTTTTTGTTTTTCATTCATTTTTACTCAGTCATTTAAAGGAACTATATAGACGTAATTTCAAGTGACCTTCCATTTAAAGATGAACATGGCCGATTCACAACGGAACTTTTTAAATTTCACATCAAACTCAAGTAAACTTCATGTTATATTGAAATAATTTTTAATCATAACCCTTATAGAAGAGCTTTTAAGGAGAGGAGCAATGAGGTCAACAAGTTGTATGAGTAATGACCATAAATTTGACCTTGTCCTTCTGGATCCAATTGAGCGTGAATTCCTTTGTTTCTGAGAAAAATATGAGTAGAGAAAAACGAAGTTTTCGAGGGTACCGTTGTGAATCGAACTTTTTTTTAAATGGCGAGTTACTTGACATTAAGTCTACAGTCCCTTTAAACCTACTTATTCCTCTCCATTCATACAATTGTTTACATTTTATTCAATACTAGCTTGGGAACTCAGCGCTGCCAAGGTTTCTAAAAGTTACTCCCGCTGTTTACCCGCACTTGAACGATTTTACTATTCAATTTTCACTATTAAATTCGACCCACTCAACTAAGAATCTTAAAACCAAGCTAAGAACATTCCCGTGGGCAAATCGGAAAATCGGTACAGGGGTTCCTGAGTTATGATCGGACAAACAAACAGGCAGACAAACAGAGATTACAACTTTTTATAGATAGAAGAAGAAGCTGATTCTTCTGAGATTATTTAGATTTTCTAAAAATAAAACATCATTTTTTAATAATCAGATATGTACAGTTTAGAATTAACATACAATATGGATCAGTTTTCATTAAAAGAAATAAAGATTAAATTCTAACCTTTCCAAAAGTTTGAGTTGAGATCTGAGAATAAGGTTGGGTTGGGAGAGAGGCACTTGGGTCAGGTTTTTGTTGAGATCCTGAAGCTGATTGGAACGTTTAGTTTCAAGCTGGAGCTGGTTCTGTTTCCTTGGATCCGTCCCCAGGCTCATTTTCCTTCCATCTTGGAACTTTTGCTCTAGACTGAGGCTGGATAGTTTGGAACCAGAAAACCGGAAATTTTCCGGAGAAGTTTTCTGAACCTTGGAATAGAGCGGTAGATCCTGCCGGGGCCTGGAGAAAGAAAAATCTTCAGTTAAATTTTCATCTCAAAAATGATTTAAAAAGAATTCTAAATTTTTAATCTGTTTGTAGGGGTGGGGGGGGGGAGACTGTTTTTTTTAACAACCAAACTTTTTAACATTTATTTCGGTTTGCATCATATAAAAGCTTATATAGACCGATTTAAAAAACATTAGTCTGAATTTTAAACATAAAACCTAGAACTTTAAAATGGAATGTATATCGACAAGAAACAGAATATTGATGTTTCGGAATATTTAACAAAATGTTAAGTATTTTTAAATTATGTAATTTGCTTGAATATAAGAAATGTTTTTATACTTTTATACTTTTCTTCCCAAGTAAACGATGTGTGAACTCAAGAAAAACAAAGAAAAAATGGAATTCATAATTTACGACATTTTAGTTCACAGATTTTAAACTTGTATTTCAAAACAACTTTATCCCCTTAAAAATGTATACACATCAAATCAAATCATGAGTTTAGGGAGTCCTAATATAGCCTACTTTATTTAACTTGATGTCTAATCTGTATCTGAAGTTAAAATTGATGTATTGTACATTTAGAGGGTTTCGGTAAAGTAGAAAATTTATCAGGTTGAATGAATTTGCGAATATTCCAAATATTTTTCTCAATTGGGGGGGGGGGGGGCTGAGAAAGGTTTTCACGAAAAAGTATGAACATTTCTTTCAATGAAGGTCCACTCAAATGACAGGTGAACGATCCCTTTAAAAATTATCTTTTGAGCCGTTAGTCTGGGAATATTTGTCAAGGGATTAGCTCTGTTGACTCGAGCAGTGAGAGAATACAAGGAGAAACTAGTTCCAACAATTGATAACATTTGTCTCAAACCTGTCAAACATAATTTAAAATATAAAATGAATTTATCAATTTCAAGGCAATAGCCGGAACGTTCTTATCGTCTAGGTTTTGCTCCGGAGAGTGAGATGCAGATAAAGGTTTTTCATTCCTGGAGTAAATCCTGTCAACCGAGCTCAGGGAGGATTGAGACGGAGAGATTGTTCCTTCTCTCATAGGACCTGTCGGAGAATACATCTCTAGATGGGAAGCAGATCTATTTTTTACTCCGCCAACACCTCGTCGTGAACTGTATATATGTTGTAGGTTCAAAGTTTTCGGCGGAGAGTGTCTTTGGGGCGGAGAAAATCGTTTGGGAGGCGTATACGTCAGGAAAGGTTGACTGTCTGGAGAACTAAATATCTGGTTTCCCGGAGAAACCGGAGATATAGGTTTAGAGTAATGATTAATCTGGGGTTGGGATAACTTGTGTGTAGGAGGATGAGCCTGAGAATAAATATTATCCGACAACGAGGCTGAGTTTAATTGGTTTAGGTTGAGCTGAGGTTCAGCATAGTCATCTGTATAATCCTCGGATAAAACCGTATCACTGCTGCATTTCTTATGAAGAGATGGGAAACTAACAGAGTAGGGTGCAGAGTGTATTGGGTTCGAATACAGGTTTCCGTCCTGTTCATTTACAGATATATGTCCGTATACTCTCATCTTGGCTTTGTACGGAGTATAGCTTGATGTCATATCCTAAAAGTAAAATATTGTTAAATTGAATAGGATGGATAAATGCAATTTCCTGAGATAAAAGACATGATTGGATTTGTATTTAAAGTGGGTTCAGCTATGAATATCCTACCTTGAAATCAAGCTTATCTTGTATCTTTGTTGCCAGGAGAATATGAGAAGGTGTCTCCTTCCCCTGCCTGCCCCTATACACAACGAAGAATATCCCTGCGATCAGGATGGATATCAGGGTTACAAGAACACCTATAATTGGTCCTGCAAAGTTTGTATCCTGCTCCTCTGGACCTGAGGACTCGGAGTTGATAAAACTTGACTCCTCCGCTAGGTTTACACTGACAGGGTTCAAGTACTGAGGAGTAGTGTGTATATCTGTCTCTCCTTCAATCCGGAAAGGTTTCTCCTCGTATATATCTAGAAGAGAAATCTAGTTAGTATTCTCCAGGTTACTCCTCTCCTAGTTCTAGTACTAATGAGCTTGGAAGAATGTATCTTGTCTATTATTCTCACCCCTCCTCTTCCTTTATACAGTTTCATTTGCCCCCTTCTTAGTTAACTTTTTCCCTCCAATTTCACTCATTTTATCATATTTCTCCTTCTAGAGAATTCTTGTTGATTTCTCCTTTATTTCTTTACTCCCTAAACATTCTTAACTCTGGTCAATACCATAATATTCTCGTAATCAATAAAACATGTATTATTATAGATCGTTGCAGTATAAATGTAAAATTAGCCTTCTTCGGTTCATCTAACTAGATAAACAGGTAAACTGTATTCATTAAAACCTATTTTAAATTCTAGACGCTATATGCTCCAACTCCTTCAAAGTTTAACTTTTCTTCCCAACTCTATCTCCCTACCCTACCCCCTCTACATCCTACCCCTCCCTCCCTCTTCTCTCGTCCCAAGGGGGTATGATGTCTCCTGTATTCTCAGCGCTTTTTAATTTCCGTTCTAAAAGTTTTCCCTCCGGTTTGAGTAAATATATACCTGGATACAGGATAAACAAGAGAACAAGAAACTGTTTCTTATCCCTACATACAACTGGAGCATGTTTCCTTACCTGAGCTAAAAGTTATTTCACTGATGAGAATCCACTTGGATGAGAAGTAGAGATGCATCATGATAAACTTCCCGTGCTCCCTCCCCAGGTCTATCGTCACGTTCCTCGCCTCTTCCGAGGTGCCCCCGGAGTCGTAGAAAAAATCCACAGCTCTGTCATCTCCAAACTTTCCTTCCTCATTTGAGAAATAGATCTTGGCTCTTGAGAATATCTGAATATCCCGGGAATAATGATTATTCACGTGAATATCCATCCTGGAGAAGGTTCGAACTCTGTCAAACGTAAAATCCATCTGGAGCGGACTCATGCTTCTATTCTTCCAACCCACCCACTCATACCCTGTAAAAAAGTTGATTAGATAAGACGGGTATATTATGCAAACCTGTTTTAACAGGTGCGCTAACCATTATACATATTCATACCTTTGCGATATATCTATCTATCTATCTATCTATCTAACTATTCCCTTTTTTTAAACAAACTTAAATTTTGCTATTATGAGTGGAGGGGAAATAGGAAACCTAGTATTCACACGCATGTTTGTTTTGACAGATGAAAATTATCTTAATTTAAATTAATTTAGTTTTTCTCCAGATTGAGTAAATTTTGGAAATATCAATGAATAGAGGGAATGTGGGGAATGGGGGGGGGGGGAGGAGTGTTCAGAGATTATCTTGGTTTCCATGTCAACGAACTTTTATCTTGTCAATTCTTTATCAATAAATCTACCTAAGCATCTACCAAAGCATCTACCTAAGCATCTACCTCAACATCTACCAAAGCATCTACCTAAGCATCTACCAAAACATCTACCTAAGCATCTACCTCAACATCTACCTAAACATCTACCTAAACATCTACCTAAGCATCTACCTAAACATCTACATATACATCTACCTAAACATCTACATAAACATCTACATAAACATCTAACTAAACATCTACCTAAACATCTAACATCTACATAAACATCTACCTAAACATCTACCTAAACATCTACCTAAACATCTACCTAAACATCTACCTAAACATGTACATAAACATCTACCTAAACATCTACCTAAACATCTAACATCTACATAAACATCTTCTTTTCAATATGTTCATGCAAGTTCACAGGACAATTACGTTACCACATAAAAGATAAGTAAAAAACACTACCTTTGACCATTCCGTTTTCTCCGGTAGCCTTGAAGTTGTTGGAACCATACTTCCCGTCCGTGAGCTGACCCAACCCTCCTCTCAGGTTTCCGGTCACATAGTCCTCAGTTCCATCATAGGTTATATCCAGGAGCTCTAGGGTAGATCCTCGAACCATACCCTGGGGGATATTGTAGGAAACCACACCTTCTACAATAATATAAATATGATACAACATCAAGTCAGTGGGATGAAGGTTGCAAAATAAGTGGCGACATTTTACTCATCTTTGAATAAATCAAATTGGCATCAGACTAAGAAATCAAAAAAGAACTAAACACTCGCTGCAAACTCAAATTTTCTAATCCCTATATCTTTGCAACACAATGTCGTAGACTTTAGATATTGTATACTATAAATTTTGTTAGATCAAATAATCTAAGTTTGAAATATCAAAGGTTTACACCATTAGGTTTCTGAGGTATTTGAGTTTGTGACAAACTAAGAACTCACAAGTTCAAAATTTTCCAAAATCATGATGTGTATAAGTATTGTATTTTGAAATTAAATAAGTATAATTATCTTGTTTTTATCCATGTAATATGTATATTGTATATGTATATGTATTCCCAATATGAATATTGAATATATATCTAGATATCTATATATATATATGTGTAGATAACAATACAAAACAAATAATCGATATACTCAAGCAGGATTCTGATTGTGTGCAGCAATACTCTTCTTTTAACATATAATTACTTGGATGAATAAATAAAACAGCCTGTATTAACTTTTTCTTTTTCAAGATTAAGGAATTTTCCTAAAACTTTTAATTAATCTCTGCCATAGATGGGAGTGTATAGGACTGGGGTGCAGGTTTGATACTAATGCTCCATGGTTTATGAGAAGTACATGAATTATAATCTTGCTGTAGTTTATATTTTTTTTGAATATCTCACATAGCTAGGTATTGCAATGTACATATATTTTGATATTATCTGTGCATATCTTACTGTTATCAGTGTATATCTTTCTGTTATCGATGTTTATCTTTCTGTCATCATAGTATATCTTGGCATTATCAGTGCATATCTTGCTTTTATCAGTTTATATTTTTCTATTATTGATGTTTATCTTTCTGTTATCATTGTATACCATTCTGTTTGTCTTACTGTTAGAAATTTGTAGCAGTTTGTACTGAATAACTTTTTTAATTTCCTGTTAACGGCGCACTTCTTTCTGTAAGCTGTGATATTTCTATTAGCCATCCCATTTTAATTCGGGCAAAACACTTTTTCTTGACTGACGCAAAGATTAGACTAAATAAAGAATTTGAATGAAAAAAGGGTTTTACCTTTAAATTTGCATCCTCTCAACCCGAGTCGGAGACAAACCGTCCTGGAATGGTTGCTGAAGGGTAGGACTCTGATCTTGGATCCAATAATAGGAGGATTAAGCAGGTTTCTAGCAACTGTATATGTATCCTTGTTTCCATCCAATACCTGCAGAATACAAATATAAACACTTCAGGGAGGATGGAAGGAGGAAAGAAATAAAAGAGAATTATGGTGAAATGATTTAAATCAAAAATGAAAAACAACAGTTTATTTGAAAACAAAAACTTTGTGGTTTACTATATCATTTAAAACCTAATTGATAAATCTCTTCTCTCTCTCTCCCTCCAACCAATAAAGTTTGTAATTAATAAGCAAGAATAAAGGGTTTCCAGGTTTATTAATATATCCTGTCAGCCATTCTATGGTCTACATAGTTGCCGAGGCTGAACCCTGCTCCAGGTCCAGGTCGGAGAATAAACCTTTCATCAAACCTCCATCAAACATTGACAAAGTTAAACTTGTACTGACATTGGTCTGCAACAAAATTGGAATAGTTTCTCAATGTAAAACTTTATACGCTCCTAGACAGGGGTGTATATAGGTTTTTGAACTGTATACAATCCTAGACAGGGGTGTATATAGGTTTTTAAACTGTATACACTCCAAGACAGGGGTGTATGTAGGTTTATAAACTATATACACTCCTAGACAGGGGTGTATATAGGTTTTTGAACTGTATACACTCCTAGACAGGGGTGTATGTAGGTTTTTAAACTATATACACTCCTAGACAGGAGTGTATATAGGTTTTTAAACTATATACACTCCTAGACAGGGGTGTATATAGGTTTTTAAACTGTATACACTCCTAGACAGGGGTGTATGTAGGTTTTTAAACTATATACACTCCTAGACAGGGGTGTACATAGGTTTTTGAACTGTATACAATCCTAGAATAAGGATGTATAAAGGTTTTTAAACTGTATACACTCCTAGACAGGAGTGTATATAGGTTTTTAAACTATATACACTCCTAGACAGGGGTGTATGTAGGTCTTTAAACTGTATAGACTCCTAGACAGGGGTGTATGTAGGTTTTTAAACTATATACACTCCTAAAATAAGGGTGTACATAGGTTTTTAAACTGTATACACTCCTAGACAGGGGTGTATATAGGTTTTTAAACTGTATACACTCTTAGAATAAGGGTGTATATAGGTTTTTAAACTGTATACACTCCTAGACAGTGGTGTATATAGGTTTTTAAACTGTATACACTCCTAGAATAAGGGTGTATATAGGTTTTCAATTGTATACACTCCTAGACAGGGGTGTATATAGGTTTTTAAACTTTATACACTCCTTTAAACTTTTACTTTTTAGAAGGAAATGAATCTGCCCCTAGGAACCATTAGTTTTCAATTTTCTGGGGGGGGGGCTCAGTTATTGTAGCCCCACCCCCCGTATAAGCCCCTCCTCATAGTGAGCTCAACCGAGCTCTATCGTGTATTTTCATTAGAAAGGACTAAATGCTCTATGTAAAGAAAGAATATTGCTGTATTAAACCATTAGAAAATGAAAACTTAAATTAAACGTGGATCAAACACAACCCTAGTCACGCAACTAGACCTCTAGACAATACATAGGAGGGGGGGCGGGGGGGTCACTTTATATTCATAAGTTCTCAGAAAGATTTAAAATTGCATAATTTCTGTATAATCCAAGTTTCATTCCCAACCCAGCAATTTAATCCTAAATGGTTAAATATTGTTTTATCAATTCTTCTCAGCTTGCTCCAGGTTTTAGTATTTTAATATTTTAAAAAATATTTTAAAATCTTGTTTAGCAAAATTGTGTAGGCGGCGCATATTCTTCTATAATTAAATTCTGAATTAAAAGACTTCCAGGGTTTAAAGAAACAGGACAAAGAAACCAATATAAACCTCTAGTTTTAAAAAACAAAAACTGACACTCCCTCCCCCCGGCCCCCCCCCTCTCCTCTAAATTCTCATTTCCGCCCCTTTATTTTGGCATAGAAAACAATTATGCCAACTTTTAATACTTCATGATTAAATTCCCAAAGATAAGCGATCAACTCTAAAAAGTAGATTATTGCTGCTAGCCGTGCGCCCCCCCCCCACTCTTGCTTTGATCACTTCATTTATAATAGTCGCATATTTCGGCATCTAGCATAACCTAGCCGCAGTGCTACGCACTATTTAAAGCCTCAGAAGACATTACCTAATCCTTAATGGGGTTATTTAGCCATTTTATAGAGCAAATGGCGTCTAGATCGAACGAGAAAATAGTCAATAGTGAAAATGGCAATGGAGCAAAATATATTTTGTAAAAACTGGAGAATAGGAAAGGAGTACAGAGTGAAGAGAAGAATAAAAGAAATTATGAGAGAAAAAAACATTCAGAGTCGTTAAAAGCATAAATAAAGATAAGGATTACAGCCAACTCAGTAATTCTTATTTCTTTGGATTAGAGCTAGACCTGAACATCAGTTAATGAACTAGATCTTTCTAATCAAATTAACACGTAGAGTTTCCTTTGCTAATTGAGAATTCGAAGAGAAGAGAATTATCAAAGAAGTAATTATTAATATATTCATAAATTAGACACTATAAACTCATCTTTAATGCAGGTTTATGAAGAGTAAGTGAAAGTAAATATTTACCGTTTTGCCAATATTATCTCGATACTCTTTAAACTGTTGCATCCCATCTCTCCAGTAGTGTATCCTGTACGCCTGGGTATACTCCTGTCCTTGGCCATTTGCGAACCTACCCTGAGTCAGAACCTCGGAGATCACGTAGTTCTCAGGAAGATCAACCTGGATATATAAGGTTGGATATCTTCATGTTGAGTTCTCACATAAAACCCCAGATACTGTTAGTTCAGTGGGAATAAACATATTTTGAGGAATGATAAATGTTGAAACCAGAAGGAACTGAATCAATACCGGGGAATATAAATCTTGAGAAATGGACGGGGAACCAGGGGTCTTAAATCATACTAGGGTTAATAAAATGTAAATCATTATGTCTGCTGGAGCGTGGGTATTTGTAAGAGTGGGTTTGGTATTTTAAAAAAGGTTAACTGTATTGGACGTTTAGGCTGTGAGTGTGTATATAGTGACTGTAAAAAATTTTGCAACAAATTCTTCTGGTGAATCAACCTTGGTTTGTGGGCTGGGACAATTCTACTTGAAATATGGTAGAATATTTAAACCAAACTATTTATACTGAATATATTCATAATTCGAAGATTACAAGAAAAAATTTCTCCAAACCTTTTTTTCCGTCACAAAATCCTGATAGTTACTTGTTCGAAACATTCTTGATTATAGCAGAGAATTGAAGGATAAAAACCAACCTGTAGATATTGATCATTTTTCTCTCTAGTTACAGGTTCCCTGGGACACCAGGCTCCTCCCTGTACATCACTCCGCAACCTAGAGAGTAAATTCCTTCCTTAATCCTTTCAAATCATTTCAGATGAGAAGAGACAATATTTTGATTCTATCCTGGATCTGAACAGAATCTGACAAGGATTAAAGAAAACATTTCTCAGGGGGTTTTCCAGAGCAGGGCTATTTTTCCGGAGAAACCTCGGTGAAAGACTAGATCATTGTCATGAAATAGGAAAACCAAATATTTCTGAATAATTGTTGTACACAAAGTTTGTAATTATAGAAACCATACCTGGCATTTTTAGGTCCTACATTAGTAGGATCATAGCTGGAACTAGCAGAGAATGCTGAATCTTTGAGTTCTCCATTCTCCAGTCCCAACTCATCCCTGCAGGATTCTAAACATACGGAGAAGGTTTTCCAGGTGTCTAAGAAATAGATTTCTCCTAATCCATACAGGGTGTCAAAATAGATAAGGAAATTGAGCGACGATTTCGGGATCGACTTTGTAAATGATTATCGATTGAGTAAGGGAATACCTACTACAGCTTAAACCAGAACTTCGCAGATTTCGGTCTAACAGTGTGAAACCCATTGAAATTTTTTCAAGACGATATTTTATAAAGTTCGATGTCTCCGATGTTCTGGGTTAAATTGTATAGGAAAGCGGTGATCCGCAGAATTCTTTACAAAGACGATCTATAAGTTGTCTCTCGATTCCCATGCTTTTTGGGACATATTTTGATTACAAACACTGTATAGTTTACATAGTATAAGTAGGTGCAATAATTTTACTTTTATCGATTATGGTATCTTTGTTTTATTATAATATTTAACCAATTTAGCACGCCTAATACAGAAAAAGCCCCCCCCCCCCTGTTAACCTAATGTGGAAACAAAAAGATCTGTGTTGAGAATAAATCAAAAGCTAGGGATAAAGTTTTGACAAGAATATGTAAAATGATAAAATATATGAAGGGAGTGCTGTCATCTTGTTTCAAGTTTCTTCAACACGACTCCAAGATGAATAATTAATTGATAATCAGGCAACACTCTATAGTACAGGATCAGGCTGATGAAAGAATATTATCTAATTGAAAAACACGAGGTTTGCCAAAATCCTTATCTAGGTAACACCGTGGCACACCCAATATTTAAACCATCCTAGACCTTCTTATCTGTCTAAGGAGTTATCTACAAAAAAAGGAATTGAGTCTTTGCAACAAATGCAAATTTTCTAATCCCAATAACTTTGCAATCTGATAATGAAAACCTATGAAAGTTCAAACTTAGATTTTTTGATCGAACAGAATTCATAGTTTGAAATATGTTAAGTCTATGACATTGGGTTTCAAAGATATAGGGATTAGACAATCAGAATTTGTGGCAAAGACTCAATTGCTTCGAGCCCATCTTGAGAATAAACACAAGTATAAAAGTAGACTTATATTTTGACGGGAAATATAGCACGAAGCCCTCTGAATACAGAATGAAGGTATCTTAAGGCTGGAGAAAACATGCAGAATGATAAATTCTCTTTAAATCAAAGAAAAACATCATTGAGGTATTTCGACTTTTCTTTGAAGACAATTGCTTTTTTCGTGTTCATTTAATTCGATAAAACAGACGGATGAGCACAATAAACTCTCCGAAGATGGTTTACTATATATCCTCTGATCAAATATCAGATAGTTTAGAAATTGAACCGAAATGAAAACCCTGAAGAAAAATACCTTTTGATTAACAAAATTGAACTTAAGTTCTTAGAACTTTCCTACGATATCGGGATCCGATACTAACGAACTTGATGAAAATAAATTGAGGTTTAGATTAATTGGAAATTGAAAGGTTCCTCAATAAGGATTTTCACTTTTTACTAAATGCCACCATTTTTTTGTAATTTCGTGAGATAAACAGTAATTTTGAATTGTTTTTGCAAGTTGGAGGAAAAGTGGAAAAAGTACCACCACATTTTTTTTATACATTTATTCTTTTTTTAACATTAATCTTTTCTACATGAGAAACACTTCCCAGTGCTGTCTTTTTAAATGTGCAATAGAATTAATCTAGAAGGGAAATGTAAAAAGTGTGTAACAAACAAACAACCAACGTCATATCTAAGGATTATCATGGTTGAAGAGAAATAAACGAGAAATGAGTCAGTACTGCTGTACGCAGTCAAAATAAAGTTTTGTATGCATTTCGTCGTTGTGAGTAAACACAGACAAAAATAAGATATGTATAGCGATTTATATTTTTTACAATTTCAAATTGTAACGAACTGAAAAGTTTTCTCAGATTATGTTTAAGATTATGTATAATATGTAAAAACGACGAATTTGTACAAAAAAACATAAAGATTAGAAATAATACTAAAAAAGACGATCTCTCTTAAAACCTTATTCTTATATAACAACGTTTTAAAAAATCTATAATTCTTCATAGGAATCACTTTCTACTTTAAAAATATGAATTAAATAATTACTTATCATTTGTAAAGTGTTATATTGTCTACACAATCTTAAACATATAGTTGTTTAAAGGAAACATGAAGGATCTGTACAGATTGCTGTATTTGTGTAGGGTTCTTATCATTCATGAAATGTCAAAACTTTTTAATTAAGGAAGTTGTGTACACAGTGACACAATGATTTAAATGCTATTATTTTAAAACATTTGTTTTCTTAATTTTTACCTATTCTGAGTAGAAGGGTTTGGGTTGGTATATAGATAAGAACTAGAACACCAAGGTTAAAAATCATTTTTGCTCATTTTCTCACCATTTTGTAAACCTGAAACAGAAATGTAATTAATTACATAATTTTACTTTTATGTTAATACCGGAGGTTTGCATGAAATGGGTAAATTTGCCCGAAGGGCGGGAAGGTAGGGAAGGGAAAGAGTTACAGCAAATATTGATTCAACTTTATATTCTTACACTCCTTTATACACTGTATACAGTACACACTCCGGTATACAGTATACACTCCGGTATACATTCCGGTATACAGTATACACTCCGGTATACAGTATACACTCCGGTATACAGTATATACTTCGGTACACAGTATACACTCCGGTATACAGTATGCACTCCGGTACACAGTGTATACTCCGGTATACAGTATATACTCCGGTATACAGTATATACTCCGGTATACAGTATATACTCCAGTATACAGTATACACTCCGGTATACAGTATATACTCCGGTATACATTCCGGTATACAGTATACACTCCGGTATACAGTATACACTCCGGTATACATTATACACTCCGGTATACAGTGTACACTCCGGTATACAGTATATACTCCGGTATTCAGTATATACTCCGGTATACATTATACACTCCGGTATACAGTATATACTCCGGTATACAGTTTACACTCCGGTATACATTATACACTCCGGTATATAGTATATACTCCAATATACAGTATGTACTCCGGTATACAGTATACACTCCGGCATACAGTATACACTCCGGCATACAGTATACACTCCGGTATACAGTATATACTCCGTACTCCAATATACAGTATGTACTCCGGTATACAGTATACACTCCGGCATACAATATACACTCCGGCATACAGTATACACTCCGGCATACAGTATACACTCCGGCATACAGTATACACTCCGGTAAACAGTATACACTCCGGTATACAGTATACACTCCGTTGTACAGTATACACTCAAGTATACAGTATACACTCGAGTATACAGTACACAGTCTAGTATACAGTATACACTCCGGCATACAATATACAATCTAGTATACAGTATAAACTCCGGCAAACACTCCGGTTTACAGTATACACTCTGGTATACAGTATACATTCCGGTATACAGCATACTCTCCAGTATACAGTATACACTCCAGTATACAGTATACACTCCGGCATACAGTATATACTCCGGTATACAATATACAATCTAGTATAAAGTGCAAACTCCAGGATACAGTATACACTCCGGTATAAAGTATACACTCCGGTATACAGTATACATTCCGGTATACAGAATACACTCCAGTATACAGTATAAACTCCAGTATACAGTATAAACTCCAGTATACAGTATACACTCCGGTATACAATATATACTCCAGTTTAAAGTATAAACTCCAGTATATAGTATTTACAAGCTTCTCTGTATAGACTGGTGAATGAGGGTTAAAGTAACTGATTGAAAGGATCCAGGAACTGATAAGAAGTCCTTGATTAATCAAGATACTTCAGGATCCTGGATATTTACACTAGCTATAGGTTCAGGTATACACTGAATACAGGATGATGAAGTTGATCAATGATTAAATGAATTAATCTTTAAAACATCCATGGTGGTGAAATATAATGATTAAATAACATGAACTAAGATCCATTACAGGAACATATTTTTGTTTAAAGAGACATTCCTTGAACATCATGTATCACGGTGTACAGTGCACATTACACTGTAAATATTTCAGATTGATTAATGATATAGGCTGACGGGTATATTTAATGAGCTAACCCAGTCAATGAAGGGAGGGGTAGGGAGGGAAAGTAGGACTAGTGTTGTAGAAGTAGTATGATTTGAAGGGGAAAGGGTGAAACCAAATATTACTTTGACGAAAGAACAAAAGGGGAAGAAAGAATGATGTTAAAACATAACAGAAAACGCAACAGTTCTAAAGGTGCTAAGTTGATAACAAGTGTATAAAAACAGAGTTGAGAGGGGACCAATGCCAATAAATAACCTTTGCATTTAATAACCATGGAAGATAGTTTATCAAGTTTCAATTTATAAACTTACATCTGGAGAAGGTTTTGAAATGTTAGTTGGAGATAGAAAAGAAAATGAGGAAGGGTCAAAAGAGGGGAATTTGATATCAAGGGAATGAAGGGGGAATAATTGACTCTAGAATGATGAGAGATGGGGGGGGGGGGGGGGGCATCCTTACATTTAGAATTACAGACGGTCAAATATCTTGTTAATTGGAGGGGATATAATTCCCATTTATTCAATGTCAAACCCTTAAAAAAATTACCCCAATAGCCTTTCTTCTGGGTATAAATGTACACCTCCACATGGATATCTAGAGTATACCTTAACCCTTCCACCTGGGTATCTAGAGTATTCTTGAACCCTTCAACCTGGATGTCTAGAGTATACCTGAACCCTACCCTTCCACCTGGATATATAGAGTATACCTGAACCCTTCCCTTCAACCTGGATATCTAGAAATCTAGAGTTTACCTAAACCCTTCCACCTGGATATCTAGAATATACTTAAACCCTTCCACCTGGATATCTAGAGTATACCTAAACCCTTCCACCTGGAGATCTAGAGTATATCTTTACCCTACCCTTCCAACTGGATATCTAGAGTATATCTGAACCCTACCCTTCCACCTGTATATCTAGAGTATACCTGAACCCTTTCCTTCAACCTGGATATCTAGAGTATATCTGAAGCCTACCCTTCCACCTTGATATCTAGAGTATATCTGAACCCCACCCATCTACCTGGATATCTAGAGTATACCGGAACCCTTCCCTTCCACCTGCATATCTCAACCTACCCGGAAATCTCTAATTCTCTTAAACCTTTATTCTCTTAAATAATCTTAAATCTGAAGTTCTATCTTCTGGTCCTACTATAACCCGGAGTAGGATATTTACCTCCCGTGGCTTGCAACCTTGTTATAAACTGTGAGATATAAATTAACAAGTTTATGACTTGGAACTTCGAGATAAATGTTTCAATAAGCTCTATCCCAGGGTTTATCATTACTAATGCTCCATCAAAGTTTTATAGTTAATAAATGCTAATGATGAAATAATATGAAATTTTGAAATTTATCTCCAGTCTAAATTTAAATACAGCTTAGATCTGCTTAACTTTTTGAAGAATTAAAAAAACTCTTTTGAAATAAAAAATACAAATATAAAGGAGGAGGGGCATGGAAGGAGAAAGAAGGAAGGTTTTCTTCGTTTTCAAAATATCCACAATACTAAAAAATTTAAACGTTTTAGGTGAGGTCTGAATTTAGAATACTCTTGAATGGTTCAATAATTTTCAAGGACAAAATATATTAAGCGACCACCCATAGTACTTATATAAAATATTTTACGAAAAATACATTAGCTCTCAGCTCACTGAGTACACTCTAGCGTTGAATGACCCGGCTACAGGGTTCAAAGCATAAGAAATACAAACAAAAGTATTGTTATTTAGCTTCAATGTAAGGGTTAAGTGAACCGGGTTTTGAATAAATTCATATTTAGAAAACTACTGTCACTTTGTCAGTTTAGATAAGATTCATAATAATAAAACCTTAAAGTTTTTGTTTTCGATAAAATAAACAACTAGTTTACTCTAGTTAAACGTAAGTTTTAAAAACTTATTTTTCTCAAAATAATCAGCATAATATCCAGGATATTTTTGTATGTTTTTAAAGCTGGGATTATGAGATTAGCTCTGAATAAATTATGTTTAAGGACCATATTCTAAAGCCTTTAAACCGAGCATAGGTATTTGTTTGATAATAAATCTATTTTTATTCTGTATTTTAAAAAAGATCAAATTGTCTTCATAAAACATATTCAGACACCCTGAAGTAGACAAACTCCAAAAGTGCAGAATTAGCAGAAATATAAAACATGTTAGATAAGAAATAAAATAAAAAAGTGTGAATACCATTGTAAGAATTAGCAGAAATATAAAACATGTTAGATAAGAAAGAAAATAAAAAAGTATGAATACCATTGTAAGAATTAGCAGAAATATAAAACATGTTAGATAAGAAAGAAAATAAAAAAGTATGAATACCATTGTAAGAATAATCAGAAAAGTGCTTTCAATATTTAGGAGGCAACTAAGTTTATATTATTTAATGTGTAGAGTGAACTATGGAGGCGGATAGAGGGTTCAGTTCTAATTAAGAGTAAGAAGAGAGATGAGATAAGAAGGGAGGAGTGAGGTCGGATACGGGTGGGTTCAGTAGCACCAGGAGAAAAAAGATAACTGTTGAAAAAATAGAATGGGATTCTGGTAGAATAAAGGGTACTTAGATTGACAGAGTAGGAAAGTTAGAGTAAAAAAGGGAATAGGAGCTTGGATATGTAAAAAATCAATATAGTTGTATATAAAGTTGACTGTGGACCTTGTTTACAAATTAATATAGTTGTATATATAGTTGACTGTGAGCGAAGCGCCCTCTAAGGCTAGTATTATATATTTGGCTTGTTTGTCCGGAAAAATAAAAAATTTGCTTCCAAGAAAAGATTGATTTTTTTGAGAAATCCACCAATTGAAAACAGAAAAATCTACGAAATCCACGAAAGAGGAACGCCCTTGAGTCATAGTGAAGACATATTTTTGCTAAATATCAAATTCAGATTTATTTTCTTTTTCTTTTAAACATAAAATATTAAAGAACAAAGAACTTTCTAAAAAAATCATCTATTTAAATATTACATTTTGTTTAATTTTATGCATATATTTCTCATGGAAAGATTCTTTGTATCGACATAAAACACAATTGATGGAACTTTAAACAATAGTTTGTTATCAAATCTACAGGAACGGATTTCATTCGAAGTTTATCGTTTCCAGGCAGCATCAGTCAAATTTTCTTCAACACCTTGCTCTCGCGTAGTATCCCCCGCTGTTTGTTTTCTTTGTTCCTCTATAAGATAAAATATTTGTAAAATTCAACCTATTTAGACGGTAATTGAGAGAGCTTCCTGTATGTGATGAGTTTTTTTAAAACCTACACTACCCCCCCCCCTCTTTCCT